CGTTCGGGCCACGGACTCGCGCTGGAGCCGAGACCCCCTGTACCCGCGACGACCCTTGTAAGCAGTGCCGCAAGAGGTACGAGAAGGGCGACGTGTCCCTCTGCCGCTGGCACCCCAAGCCCTACCACCACGACCTGCCTTACGGACGCTCCTACTGGATGTGCTGCCGCCGAGCCGACCGAGAGACGCCTGGCTGCCGCCTGGGTCTGCACGATAACAACTGGGTGCTGCCCTGCAATGGGCCTGGCGGGGGCGGGGGCCGGGCTGGCCGGGAGGAGGGGAGGTGAAGCCAGGGGGGGGGGGGAGCCACCACGCCCACCCCTCTCCGTGGGTGCCGAGCGCCAGGACCTGGTCACCAGCCCTACCTACCCCCAGTCCGGGCGGCGTCATCCCCCTCCAGACTGAGCCGCGGCTTGGGGGGGGGGGGGGGGGGTGTGACCTAAGAAAGCACTCTGACTGACTGACCCCTATTGGTTTTCTATTCTTAAGACCCAGGGCCAGGGACCCTCGTGGAGGGTGTTTTTTTAACTAGCATCTCAAGTTCCTTCTCCATTCAGCCCTAGCACCCTTCCTGCCACTCTCCTCCACCCCAGGGACCCACCAGCAGGGAGCAGACGGCAGCTAATTTTGGTACTACTTAAGGGTTCCCCCATCCTGGCCCCCTTCTGCTCCCCCCTAGCCACCCACCTCCATTCTCTGTCTCTGGAGCTGTGTTCTCTCCCAAGAGGCTGCAGCACCCAAGGCTGCCACCTTCTAACCTGCGCCAGGGCTTACCACCTCTTCAGGAATTGGGGGCCGTTCGATCACAGATCAGACTGGGTACGTCTCATGGCAGCCTGCCATTTCTACATGTTTTCCCCACTAAAACAATAAAAATCAGTTTTCTCCTTAACCTCAAGCAAGTAATCTCTCCACTTCCCCCAAAGGGGAAGGAAAAAGAAAGTTGAACTCTAAAAATTTCCCTCCTCCCGTTATTTAAGCTATTTTACCATCACCACCGCTTAAAAAGAAAAAAAAAAAAAAAGCTGTGAAGCCCTTTGCCTCGCTCTTGACAGCGTGGGGGGCCAGGGGGCAGGGACTGTGGGTTTGAATTTGGTTGTTTTCCTTCCGCTCTGGGTACCTGTTCGGGCTTCAGGGTCTCCACCCTGAGCCGTGTGTTTCTTTAGAAAAAGCCTTGGTTAACTGAGACCTTGATTCTTCGGGCAGTTGGGTCTGGGGTGTTTTTGTTCGTTCCGTTTGGGCTCTGTTTTTTGTTGTTGTTGTTGTTCTTGTTTTTTCATCCCTGTGGTTCTGGAAGCCTCTGGCGTGTGGCATCTGACCAGTTTTGAATTGGTCCTTTCTATAAAATCTGTATTTATAAGGCTGAGCACAGACTGGTTTGTATATTGTTCAGGGAAGGGGGTTTGGGAGAGAAGGGAGTCCTGGGTCCGAGCATGGTGAGATGGGAAAAGCTGAGAAAAGGATCCTTAGCCAAGTCCCTTAGCATGAAATTATTTTTGACTCTTCATCTGTGTCAGTTTGGATTCAAATCTCAAAATAGTAGTCGCTTAAACAAGATAGCTTTTATTTAGAAACCCAAGTCATCAGGAACCCATGGTCCAATACGACTGCTAGAACTCCAGCCATCACCATTTTGCAGGGAGGGAAACCCCCTTCCTCCTGGGAGCACTACACTATACAGTAGGTCCTCAAATTAACAGCATTTCATTCAAGGTCATTTGCTTCTCACTGGTCAGAACTTAGCCAAATGGAAGGGCTGCAAAGGAGACTGGGAAATGTAGTCTTTTAGCTGGATGCTTTGTGCCCAACAAAAGAACTCTTACTAAAGATCCCTATAATGAAAGTTTTAAAATATTCACTTATTTACTAAATAAAAAGGGATTGAGACATTTAAGAAATTAAAGTATAAAAGAAGAGGGGAAAATGGATTTTGAGAGGCAGCTAACATTCTTTGATATTCTTTTTTCTTTTCTTTCTTTCTTTCTTTGATATTCTTATCAGGGAATCAAAATGTCCAGAGAAACTAGGATATATCCATAGAAGTTATTCAATGCTTAGACTTTAGAATAAAAGAGACCTGGGTTTGAATCTCAGTTTGGTTTTACGGGACTTCTGTTCCCTGTGGAGGGAAGACCAGACTATTGGGACTCTGCTGCTGAAAATATAAGTTAAATATCAAATAGCCAATAAAATACGGCTCAGGATACACTAGGCCATAAATTTAAAGGAAAGGTACATGGGGCATTTGCTGATGTGGACAAATGGGTTTCCTATTTGTAGCCTTATTGGGGCAGGCAGAAGTCAAGGCCAAAGCCTGCCCAAGGCGATAAATCTAATAGCTGAGATCCCACTGAACCAGAGGCTGAGGTAAGGATGACCCAAAAGATTGTAGATGTTCTGAACGCTGAGGGGAGCACAAGACCAAAGAAAGAAAAAGGTGGACCGGAGAATCGGCGGTCGTAGGCTGGCTCTGGCGTGGGTTTGCAGGTAGGTTTGCATCAGTGATGTTTCCCAGGGTACTTCCAGCCGAGATGTCTCGCAGAAACAAACACGAATCCTCTGGTGTAAGAAACTGTCACTTAGAGTCCCCCACACATAATTTTCAGACAATGAGTTGTTTAGAGTCAAATGACCAAATATGCATGGAAATACACCAGCAAGGGCAAGAAACAACAGAGCAAAAACAGGCTTCAGATGATGAGACTCCATCACAGATGAGAATACAAGAGCTTGCAAATATATGCAAGGAACTTAGTTAAATAGCCTAGCAGATATGAAAGAAAAAAACCCACAAACATATAACCAAAAGTAAAAACCCAAGTGTGGCTCAACAGCAAATTAGACACAACTGAAGATCATTAAACCAGAGATAAATCCACAAAGTAGCAGACAAAAGTTTATATAGCCTGGCTGGTGTGGTCCAGTGGTTGGGCATTGACCTATGAGCCAGGAAGTCGTAGTTTGATTCCTGGTCAGGGCACATCATCAGGTTGCAGGCTCGATCCCCAGTGTGGGGCGTGATTCTCTCATAGATGTTTCTATCTCCCTCCCTCCTTTCCTCTCTGGAATCAATATATTCATTTTTATTTTAAAGAAAAGTTACAGAGGACAGAGTGAAAAAATATTTAATTGGCATTACAGAATCAGAAGCAAGGACAGTACAAAGATATTTAAAGATGTTCCTTATTCCAAGCTGGTAAAAAAAAGCGATACGCCCAACAAGTCAAACAGGATGAATAAAATGTAAAAGAAAAAAAGGAAGAGTAACCATGTAAGTCGGTTGGTGTAAAAAAAAAAAAAAAAAAAAAAAACGAAGAAATATACCCCTAGACACACTGCAGTGATCTTCAGCAAAGGATTTCTCTGAATCTCTATCTTAAAATGAAAAATGAGAATACTGATAATTCCTCAAAAGACTGGCGTGATACGTCTCGTCCAGAGCGCTCAACAACTGCTTACAAGAATATACCTCGTGGCCCCTTCAGAGCCTGAGGCTGGGGACCCGGAATTTGGGGGACACATGGAGCTGGGGAAAGGAGCATCTTGCCCAGCAGCAGCAGCAGCCTCGTCTGTAAAATGGAGCTCACAGTCCTTGTTCCGGATTCATGCAAAAACTGTTCATCAGGCTCCTTGCCCAGTGCCTGGCGCATGGTACACTCGACCAAAGTGTCTAGTAGGGAAACGGGCCAGGGATGTAACCTGCTTCCCCTCGTATGGAGATGATGTCCGAGTACCTCTGGATGACTGTGAGGCTAAGGGGACGTGGTGGCCCACAAAAAATGAGCAAACAGGGATCTCCACGTGGTCTGAGACCCTCTGGCTGTTGTCTGTCCATTTCCCTTTCTGAACTCTGGACTTCCGCCAGTTCCACCTCTAAGAGGCTATTAGTCCGTCCATCCACCCACTCTAACTTGCATCCAATTAAAAGCCTCAGGAGGAGCATTTTTTTTTTTTAATATTTTATTGATTTTTTTTCAGAGAGGAAGGGAGAGGGATAGAGAGTTAGAAACATCAATGAGAGAGAATCATCGATCAGCTGCCTCTTGCACACCCCCTAATGGGGATGTGCCCGCAACTAATGTACATGCCCTTGACCAGAATCGAACCTGGGACCTTTCAGTCCGCAAGCCGACGCTCTATCCACTGAGCCAAACCAGTTTTGGCAGGAGGAACTGCTTTTTATTAACAATCAGTTGGTCCCAAATGGGTGGCTTGGAAGGGAGGTAGGACATGGCATGGCCCTGTGTAAGAATCTGTAAACAACTTGTTCATAAGTTTCAGACCCAACCCCCTCATTTGCAAAATGAGAACCGAAATCATGCCTACCTAAGGGTTTGGGAGGAAACTGAGTTGCTATATATATATATAAAGTGCTCATGGTGCCTGGCCTGTGGTAGGAGCCCGATAAATGTCAGTGACTGGCAGAATGTGAATCGAGAACCTTCTCTTTATCCTCGCATTTGATATCCTAAGTTTAAGCTCTTGAATTCTTGAATCTTGAGCCGTGCGTTGACTCAGGCCAATCAATGCTCACCTTTACTACCTAATAACCCTCCAGGTCTCCATCAAAGTCACAAAACTAGGCCCTGGCTTGTGTGGCTTGGTTAGATGGCATCCCATCACTGAAAGGTTTCTGGTATGTGCCCTTGACCAGGAATTGAACCCAAGACCCTATGGTGTGCAGGCCAATGCTAATCACTCAGCGACACTAGCCAGGGCGTACGTAGTCTGCCTTTTTAATAAGTACTCCAGTGGAGTCTGAAAATTCACTGGAATTGGAATTATACCCACCATCTCGCACTCCTGTACTCATAAAAGAGACAGGATGGTTTGGTATAACTAGTTTGCAGTGACTTCTGGCCTGTATTATTCCTTCCGTAAATATACCAGTGTTTCCCAAAGTATCTTCTGAGGTACCTCGTTCTGTGAGGTGCTTCCCCAAAAAGGGGGTTCCATGGTGAAACACTTGGAAAAACAATGCACTGCCTTACCATTGAAAATTCACATTGTGCAATGAACTCATTTAATGTCTCACCCTCCTTCCTTGGTCCCTTTTTTCACGCAACACCTATTATGGTCGTTCTGCAGAATGTGTTGCAGAAACACCAGATTATTGCCTGCTGGGTCTGCAGAACCTGGAGTTCCCAAGTATTGGCTTCCATCTCCTGCTCCTGCTTGCGAGCACATCCACGTGGGCTCCGGGTTTGGACCCGTAGCAGTAACGAGGCTGACGCTGTGGAGAATGAACTGCCCCCAAAACAGCCCCAGAGAACTCACTGGGTTGGGTGGTGGTGCTGGTCCATCTGCCAGTCCATGCTTTGCCGACTAAAACCAAGAATAGCAGTTGCCCATGCGAACTTTTCCAGCCCAATGTCTCCCTCGGAGCAGGACCCAAGCTCTTATTCCTGTGGCTCTCACCCACAGCGGCCTCTTCCGTCTCTGAAGAGTGGCAGCTTGAGATACTCAAAGGAGAGAGGGTCTTCCAGGAACAGCACAAGCAGAGCCAAAGGCATTTCTTAGGACGAGCCAGCACACCAGAGGTAGGCCCAGCCTGAGCTCCGCTGGCTCCGAGGCCCCTGCTACACATTCCCTGCTCGGTCTTTTCCTTCAGAGTCAGCCCTGCGGGCTAGAGCCCCAAGTATTCGGCCACGAACACGGCGAGGATGCGGCTCAGGTTGTGTACCGTAGGGGGGTGCAGATTGGCCTCCGAGTCGTCAGCGGTGTGCCAGACAGAGGGGAAGGGTGTGGAGATGAGGTGGAGCACCGGGACCCCTGAGGAACAGAGGGAAGACTCAGGCCCAGGCTGACCCAGAAGCCTAGGCCCAGGCCTCTCCTCCCCCTGGAAGTTAACTCTGTTCTGGCGCTTGAAGAACTCTGAACAATCGCTCTAAGTGCATGAGGGTACATGTTAGTTTAAAAATATGTATCCAGCCAAAACCGGTTTGGCTCAGTGGATAGAGCGTCAGCCTGCGGACAGAAAGGTCCTGGGTTCGATTCCGGTTAAGGGCATGTACCTTGGTTGCAGGCACATCTCCAGTGGAGGATGTGCAGGAGGCAGCTGGTGGATGATTCTCTCTCATTGATGTTTCTAACTCTCTATCCCTCTTCCTTCCTCTCTGTAAAAACTCAATAAAATATGTGTTTTTTAAAAAAAAAAAAATGTATCCAGCCGAAACTGGTTTGGCTCAGTGGATAGAGTGTTGGCTTGCGGACTGAAAGGTCCCGGGTTCGATTCCGGTTAAGGGCATGTACCTTGGTTGCGGGCACATCCCCAGCGGAGGGTGTGCAAGAGGCAGCTAGTCGATGATTCTCTCTCATCGATGTTTCTAACTCTCTATCCCTCTCTCTTCCTCTCTATAAAACATCAATAAAATATATATATATTTAAAAATATGTATCCAGTATATTGTTTTCATAACACAAATTAAGAGAAACTCAACATTTAATGCGTTATGGAAAGGCCAGGAGAAAGGACAGGGGTCTGACTATCCTCACCAGGTTTACTTTACCCGCTTTTTTTCTCTTCTTTACCAATAGTTAGCACTTATAGCACTTGTTCCATTCCAAGCCCTCGCATAAGGCCGTACATCACAAATACACACCATTTTATCCTGATGATAACCCTTTAAGGTGGGCACCCAAACCACAGCCTTTTACAGATGTGGACACAGGCACAGAGGTAGGCAGAGTGATTTGCCTAAGATCCCGCCTCCAGTAAACAAGTCAGATTTGAACCCAGGCCATGTGTCTCCAGAGTCTGTGCTCGTCTCCCCCCTCATTTAAAAACCTTTTTATTGATTTCAGAAAGGAAGAGGGATATCAATGATGAGTCACATCAAAGATGAGAGTCATTTATCAGCCGCCGACTGCATGTTCCCCACTGGGGATTGAGCCCCCAACCCAGGCATGTGCACTGACCGGGAATGGAACCGTGACCTCCTGGTTCATAGATTGATTCTCAACCACTGAGCCATGCCAGCTCTTAACCACTGTTCTGCATTGGGTTCCTGTCCTCAGAGCACTTCTCTCTGCATTTTTCCAGATTTGCTAAGTATCGGCCGCACCACTAGACCGGAGGCAGGTGTATTCTGGTGCATCACTGTATCCCTGATACCTCGCTCAGTACCTGCCTCAGTACCTGATTCATTGAACAAATCAATAAAAAAGATGTTATAGTCCAGCTGGCATGGTTCAGTGGTTGAGCGTTGACCTATGAACCAGGAGGTCACGGTTCGATTCCCCATCAAAGCGTATGCTCAGGTTGTGGGCTGGATTCCCAATGTGGGTTGAGCAGGAGGCAGCGGATCAATGCTTCTCTCTCATCATAGATGTTTATATTTCTCCCTCTCCCTTCTTCTCTGCAATCAATAAAAATATGTTTTAAAAAGAAGGTGTTGCCCTGACCGGTTTGGCTCAGTGGATAGAGCATCGGCCTGTGGACTCAAGGGTCCCAGGTTCGATTCTGGTCAAGGGCATGTGTCTTGGTTGCGGGCACATACCTAGAGGCAGGAGGCAGCTGATCAATGTTTCTCTCTCATTGATGTTTCTAGCTCTCCCTTCCTTCCTCTCTGTAAAAAATTAATATATATTAAAAAAATAAATAATTTAAAAAAGGTGTTCTAAGGAATGCGTATTTGTTGAATAAATTACAGAGTAAGTATTTTAAAAGCAGTTTTTAGCACTTACTATATGCCAAGCACTGTGGTGGCAGGCATTTCATATTCCTAATCTTATCTCATCCTCCCAACACTTGATTATGAATATACACATAGATGTGGTTTTTTATGTGTAAATCTCTTCATTTTCCCAGAAGAGACGGGGGCTCAGAGAGGCTACATAATTTGCCTTCGGTTAACGGGTGCTAAGTGGCAGATCCCAGAGCTCAGACCAATTCTGAAACCTGCCATCTGAAAACCTCGACCAGGTGTCTTCCACCCTAGCTGTGCATCTGGTCACCTGAGAGTTTTGCAAAAATAGCCCAGAGGCCCCAGATGGTGACTTAGTGGGTCCAAAATGCGTTTGGGTATTCTTCTGAGCTGCCAGGGCATTGAAAGTCAAAAGCTACACCCTAACGGGTTTGGCTCAGTGGATAGGGCCGACGCTTGCGGACTGAAGGGTCCCAGGTTCGATTCCGGTCAAGAGCATGTACTTCAGTTGCAAGCACATACCCAGTAGGGGGTGTGCAGGAGGCAGCTGATCATTGTTTCTCATCAACGTTTCTAGCACTCTATCCATGTCCCTTCCTCTCTGTAAAAAATCAATAAAATATATATATATTTTTAAAAAATAAGTCGCCCTGACTGGTTTGGCTCAGTGGATAGAGCATTGTTCTGGGGACTAAAAGGTCCCGGGTCGATTCCGGTCAAGGGCATATACCTTGGTTGTGGGCACATCCCCAGTAGGGGGTGTGCAGGAGGCAGCTAATCGATGATTCTCATTGATGTTTCTAGCTTTTTATCCCTCTCCCTTCCTCTCTGTGAAAAATCAATATTCAATATATTTTTTATTCAATATATTTTTTAAAAAGTCAAGAGCTAGAAGAAACTGCAATTACTAAGACACAAAATTAACAGCTCACATCTCTCAAATGCCTGTTACGTGCCAGACACTTGTCCAAGAAAAGCCTTTACATTTTGTATTAGCACATTCAACCCCCTCAATAAGAGAGGAACTGAGATGGGGCTATTATCCCCATTTTATTTTATTTATTTTTAAATATATTTTATTGATTTTTTACAGAGAGGAAGAGAGATAGCTAGAAACATCGATGAGAGAGAAACATGGATCAGCTGCCTCCTGCACACTCCCAACTGGGGATGTGCCCGAAACCAAGGTACATGCCCTTGACCGGAATCGAACCCGGGACCTTTCAGTCCGCAGGCTGACACTCTATCCACTGAGCCAAACGGGTTTCTGCAATTATCCCCATTTCAAAGAAGAGGAAACCAAGGCACAAATAGGTTAAGCAACTTGCCAGCAGCCCCCTCCCTGGGAAGGGGTCAGGGCCTCCGTGGACGTCCGCCCCCACGGCCCCCGCCACAGTACCTCTGCGAAGGAAGGGGATGTGGTCATCTTCCACGGAGCCGGGGGGCTCCCCGGGCTGGAAGTACATCGCTTCCTGGGGGTGAGCCTGCAGCAGGTTCAGACGGTGCAGGCGCTTCTCTGGAGGGAGTGGGGATGAGGAGCAGAAGTCAGTGCCCTCGGGGTCAGAGGTTCTGCTCAGAAGCCAGCGGAGGGCAGGGGGTCTGAGGGTGAAGCACTGGTCATCCGGCGTGAGAATGCATGTTCGTTACCCCTTCCTGCAGCTGAACCATGTCCCCCGTCATCATTAGCATCATGCCCTCTTTACAGACAGGAAACTCTCAGGATGAAGCCACGTGCCTGAGTTCACACAGCTGGTAAGGAGAGCCAAGATTCGAACCCACGGCTACCTGGCGCCCTGTTTATAATCACAACTGCTGTGGGGTCTGTTTGTGCCTTGCTCTTTGTATCAGTGCCTTAGAGAGAAGGCTGGATGACCTCTCCGAACAGCTGCCTGCCCTCCCCTCCCCTCCCACCTGCATCCAGGCTGGAGCCTGCCTCCCCCGTCACCCTTACCGATGCTCCTCAGCCGATGGAACCAGCGGGCTGTGCGGGGGAAGTGACTGTAGAAGGTCGGATGAGGGGCTCCCAGGAGATCAAGAAGCATAAAGAGCTCCTAGGGAGAGAGGCCGGGACTAGAGACGCCGGTGGGATGCTGCCAACCTTACCTCCCCCCTCCCTCCCCGAACCCAGGGGGGCCCTGGTCTTACAATAGCCTGGATCCGGGTGGGGCCGGGACTGTGGGGCGCAGACTCCATGAGCTGGGCCAGGTGCCGGGAGCCATAGAGGGAGTCCCTGGGTCCCCACTCCTTCAGCGCCTCTTCGCCGTCCAAGAAGAGCAGCTGCAGGGTCACCGGGGCTGCCTGTGGGAGCTGGTGCTCAGTGTCAGCCCTGACCTTGACCCACCCCCACTTCCTGGTCCTCGCAAAGCTGAATGGGACAAACTAGGTCTCCTCACTCATACAGCTTAGACTCTGAGCCAGACTGCCTGGGTTCAAAGCCTGACTCGGCTGCTTCCTGGCAGTCATGGGTAAGTTACAGACTTCTCAAAGCATCAGTACCCTCATGTAGAAATGGGGTTAAAAAAGAGAGAGAGAGAGAGAAAAAAGAAAGAAATGGGGTTAATAACAGTTCTATGTATAGGGTAGGATTCGAACCAGTAACTGGTACGTAGTCACTGACGGGTTAGCTCTGATTATCATTATTCCTCTAGCCCGTTTAGCAAAAGAGACACACCCAGAAATGAATAATTATACAAACAGCGAAATTCGGTGGAGACAAATGCTCCCCAAAATTATAGGGTCCGAAAAGAACACAGGAAGAGCGTGGAGGGTAATTGGTCTGGGGGCATGTCCGGTCTGTTAGAAAGACGTTTATACTGAGGGCAAGTGGGAGCTGGCCTGGCAAAATGGGTCAGTGGGAAGAGAATCCCCAGGCAAGGAAGCAGTATGGACCAGGGCTGGGCCAGAGAAGGGGTTGGAGAAAGTTTGAGAAGAGGCCAGGGGGCATGGGCTTCGGGGCACTGGAGCATGAGGAAACCAGTGTTTTTATTCATTCATTCCACTTATTTATTTATTTTTCTTCCTATTTCCACTCATTTTAATTGACATCCTACTTCGTTCCAGGCAATACCTTGGGCCCAGGGAATAGAGGAGAAACAAAAGCAGCCAAATCCCTGACTAGATGGAGTTTATGCTAGTGCGAGACAAACAAATCAGCATAAGCACCACAAGCCACGGAAAGGCCTCGTTGAAGAGGTAACATCGGAATGGACACCTGAATGAGGATGGGAGCCAGCCAGGAAGATAGCTGAGAAAAGCACATTCTAGCCAGAGCAAGTCCACATGCTCCCTAGGAGTGATTCTTGTGGGTTTGAGGTACACAGGAGGAGGCAGCTAGGTAGGATGAGCGAGGGGCGAGGGGTAGCAGATGAGACCAGATAGTGGGATGGGGCCCACCTCACCAGCCGCTATGAAAACTCTCTGGCTTACGCACAGAATGAGGTGGGGGCCATGGGAGAATTTGGGGCAGAGAAGGGACAGGAACTGACATGCAGGAATTGGAAAGATCCCGGTGGCTTTGTATGTGTAGTGGTGACAGGAAAACAAGACCAGGCAAGGGAGGGTGGTGGCTTCAACCAAGGGAGCCCTCCCTTCCCCCCTCCCCTCCCCCCACTCCTCACCTGATCCTTGGTTCTCCTCAGTTCCTGATCCAGGGCCTGGGCCAGCTCCAGTAGCAGGGCACAGGGCACAGCCGAATCCGTGGCCCCCACAAACGGGGCTGGCTCCGATGGGAAGAGCTTCGAGTCATAATGGCAGGCGAGGGTGAGGTGACGGGCAGCCCCCGGGTCCAGTGTGGCCACCACATTGGCAAAGTCCAGCGGTCCCAGGGGCGTGGAGGCTGTGAAGGGGTCCAGCTCCACATGCCAGCCTGCCGTCAGGGTCCGCAGAGTGGCCTCCAGGAACTAGTGGCAAGAGAGTGGGGGTACTGGGGAGTATATAGGAAAAAGGGGCCTTGTGACCTGACCTCACAAGTCCCACTTTAGTTGTAATCATTCCTTTCCCACTTCTGCTAAGCACCTACTAAGTGCCATGGAATGACCCCACCTCTTGATGCCAAGACTAACCACACACAGCTCACTCCTCAAAAGCACCCACTGTGTGCCAGGCCCTGCTCTAGGAACTCTGTGGGGTAGGGACCATCAGGGGCTCAATTCAAAGCTGAGGAAACTGAGGCTCAGAGAGCTGAGGGAACTACTCCGGGGTCACACTCCAAGGGGCTGAAGTGGGATTTGAACTCAGGTAGTGTTCAAATGACTCTGGGTTGCTTTCTGGGAGGCAATATAGAGACCAGCCAGCTCTGGAGCCAACCTGTTTGGATTGAAACAGTAGATACACCATTTTACTAGCTGTGGGAGGTGGGCAAAAAAATGCCCAACCGCTCTGGGCCTCAGTTTCCCCATCTGCATAATGAAGGTCACATTGGTACCCATTTCATAAGGCTGTAGTTACTTGTGCCAAGCACATAGTAGGCTTTGGGGGGGGGGGGCAGTACGGAGGGCAGGACAGCCTGGTAGTCTCTCTAGAGCACATGTGTCAAACACAAGGCCCGCGGGCCAAATCTGTCCCGCCAGGCCTTGCAATGTGGCCCGCACCGCGCTGTCATCACTGCACTCCGCTGCGTTTCCATCACAATGACAGTTTATGACTGTTCAGTAAACCATTCGGCCCGCGATTTAGGCTGGATTTTAGATTTTGGCCCCTTCTCTGATTGAGTTCGACACCCCTATTCTAGAGTAAGATTAGCTCCATTCACTTTGGATCTTGGGCAGAATGCCTATTCCCATTCCCTAGCGGCCTGAGGGGTCAGGTGTGAGTGACCCTTTACCTTTCTGACTTGGAGATTGCCCGGGCTGCCCGGCGTTCGCACAACCAGCAGGGGGCGCAGGTAAGTGTTCCAGAGCCGCCGTGGGTCCAGTTGCCCCACCACCTTCCGCATTCGGGCTTCGGGGAGGCTCGCGATCAGTGGGCCCTTGGGTGGCGGGGTGGGATGGGGAAAAGATGAGCGGAGCGTGACAGCAGCCCCCATTCTGATCCTAACTCGGGGCGCCGTCGCCCCTAAGAAGGCCCGGCTCCTTTTCCTAATTGCAGGTTCCAGCATCAGAGGTTTCTAGGATAAATCCTAGTCACAGGAAAAGTCCCTCTAAGCCCACCCCCTCCATCCTACCCAAATCCTGATAGAGAAATCGAGGCCCAGCGAGAGGAAGGGACTCTTCCAAATAGATGACTTTAGGATTAGAGCCCAGGAATCCCAGTTTCACCACTCCAGACCCTTCCTCTTAAAGGGGAGCCACTATTACAGAACAAGCCTGAAGCCTTATTCCATTAACAAGGGGCATGCGTCCTAAAGACCACAGCAGCATCTGCAGCCAGGACGTGATAAAGCCACCTCCACTCGAAACCTTAGGTAAAGGGAAGAGAGGGAGGGGGCCCCCGTGGTGCCCCCGCCGGGCCTCACCCGCAGCTCCCGGCCGGGCGGCAGCTCCTCAGTCCCGCGGTGCCAGCCGCTCCAGATGGTGTAGAACGCCGAGGCCACGGCCAGCGCCAGCAGCAGCAGCGGCAGCTGCTGAGCCCGCGGGAGCAGGCGGCGTTTGGGCGGTGAAGGTGGCTGCAGGAGGCCGCGTTCCCCGGGCCGTAGCCGGGGCCGCCCGCGGCCGCCTGGACGCATGGCAGCTTCGCCCAGATGCCGGTCCCGGACCGCGGATCGAATTTAGGCCCAGCCAAGTCCCACCCCGTGGAATTACCGGACCAATCAACAACGAGAGCGGCTGCAACATCCCGCCCTCCCGCGAGCAGTGGAGCCAATAGGGACTCTCGTTCTGAGGACACGCCCCTTCAGCCTCTCAGGGGCTTAGGCGACGATTCCCCAGAGAGTTACACAACCCTAAAGGGAGCGCGGGAGGCGGAGGCTCCGCCTCAGCGTGACAGGGGGAGCCAATGAGAAGCGTTTCATCTTGGAAAACCGTCGGCATCCGGGGTGCAGGTCCACGCCCCTCCCGGATGTGGGCAAAGCTTTGGTTTCGTGGAGTCGGAAAGATCAATAGACAAGTGAACGAACCGTCCCTCCCTCCCCCCCCAGAGAAAGGGGCGGAGCCTCTCCCTGAAAGAGAAGAGCGGATTGGCTTCTCGGAGACCGCGCCTCCGAAGAGAGGCCGGCGGGCATTTAGAACTGGCGCGCCCTTTCCCTCCCGCCACCTGAGCCGTTCTACTACACAATGGTTTAAATAGGGCCCGCCTTCCTTCTCTCCCCGTTGCCGTGAACATCTCACCCTGAATGACCCTGAACCACTAAGCAATGCTTTTACCCCAACGCTTCTACCGAGGAACTGAATAAACCCAAGGCGGGCTCCCGGGACCCCCTAGGCCACACCCACACCGCTGGCTGGGTTTGCGCAGGCGCCCACGGAAGTGGGGCCGCAGGAAGCGGAAGTCCCGCCCCTCTGGCGCTTTCTCTTCGGAGGCCGACGCAACGCGGAGGGGAGCGTTTGGAGAGTGCCACCACCGCCACCATGTGAGGCCGGCGAGGCTTAAACGGCGGGAGTGGGTGGACGGTGTAAATCTGGCTGCTTTACGGTTGGGAGGGAGAGGATGGGCAGAGCGAGGCGCGGAGACGGAGATTCTGGCGGGTCGCGTGGGGTTCTTGTTCTGTTGAGTTTGAGAACGCGCGTGGGGCTTTTGACGGCTCCCGAGTTCCGGAGCGGGAACAGCTCTCTCTCAGATAACGGGCTGGCGGCCTTTCCAAATCATTAGTCTTCCTGGGAAGTGAATTTTAAGAGGGAGCGATTTTACGAAAATGCGGAATTGTGGGAATTACGACTTGAGATGAGGGACTATTCGGATAATTTGAGCTGGAGACCCAATTCGTGACATTTTTCTAATAATGAAACAGGAATGATTTTTAGCTACTTGCCCACTAAGCAATTACTCAAGTGCTCATATATCAAGCACTGCTTTACCTACCTGGCGTCTATCAATCAATGAATTCCCCTCCCCAAGAGAAGTCCTCTTGCTGCAGCTTATGGGGAGGGAAGAGGCAGGTGGTGAATGTAACAATAATAAACAGGTAAAGTATATGGTGTGTTAGGTGGCCAGGGCTATGAGTAAAGAAACGAGAGAGCAGAGTAAAAACAATCCTGATGTCCATTTTGAGAGACAGTAACTTAACTATCGCAGAAGGACACATGGAAAGAAAGAGAGAATGAATCACAGATACCTGGGGAGGCATCCAGGCGGAGGGGAAAGCAAAGGCAGAGGCCTGGGATTAAAATTTGCCTAAAATCTTAATCACCCAGGAGGCCACTGTGGCTGAACAGAGTGAAAGGGCTGGCAAAAACATTAGATTTTGCTTTTTACACTGATAGGAGCCCTGAGAGGATTTTGAAGAATGAGATGACGTGACTTAGGTCTTGGGTCCATAGAGCATTCTCGGGCAGTGTAGGGACCAGTAAGACTCTAGGAGAGAGATGGTGGGGGTTCGGGACGCGGTGAGAGATGGTTGGATTCAGGATATATTTTAGAGGCAGATGACAGGGGTTGCTGACGGGTTGAATGGAGGGTGTGAGAGAGAGAATAGAACCCAGTTCACATCAGTTTTTGCTGGAAGAGCTGGGAGGATGGTGTTGCCATGGATGGAGATGAGGGAGGCTGTGGATGGAGTGAGTTGAGGTGTGGGGCGTTGTGGAGCTCAGGGTGTGCAAGACCGGAAGTCTGCTAGGCATCCAAACGGTGGTGCCATGCGAGGCCTGAGGAGGGTGGGTGAGATGGGGAAAGGCTGGGAAGACACGGGAGCGTGGCCACCCGAGCTCTCTCACCTGTGGGTTTCCCACTCACCCACTCAGGAGCCTACTCAACAAGCCCAAGAGTGAGATGACCCCGGAGGAGCTGCAGAAGCGGGAGGAGGAGGAGTTTAACACGGGCCCGCTCTCCGTGCTCACGCAGTCCGTCAAGAACAACACCCAGGTGCTCATCAACTGTCGCAACAACAAGAAGCTCCTGGGCCGCGTGAAGGCTTTTGACAGGTGAAGGCTTTTGGAGGGGGCCTGGGGAGGGGGTCTGTCCAGGCCCGGAGAATCAGGCCCTGCATTCCAGGTTCCTCAGAAGCCAGGAGAGTAATCACCTTAAAACCCGAGGTGTGATTCTCTCTTGCTGCCCCTCCAGCCGTACAATACGGGGGTTATGGGCTTCTACTTAGGAGCCAGTCCTCGTGGGTTCATGTCCCAACTCTGTCTCTTAGCAGCCACCTGACCTGTGACAAGTGACTGTCTTGTCTGTACAGTGGCAGTAACCGTGGTAGTTGCATAGGTTCAGTGGCTTGATACACGTAAAGTGTGCACTGTACCGGGTACTGTTGTAGGCTCTGGAGACACAGCAGCGACTAAAACAAACATGGTTCCTAAACTCGGAGCTTGTTACAGGTAGGAAAGCCGACGGGGATTGGTAAGTTCTACGGAGAAAAATAAAGCCAGGTGAGAACGTGGAGCACTGGGGCAGGGGGTGCTGTCTTTTTTTTTTTTTTTTTTTTTTTTTTTTAATATATTTTATTGATTTTTTTACAGAGAGGAGAAGAGAGGGATAGAGAGCTAGAAACGTCGATGAGAGAGAAACATCGACCAGCTGCCTCCTGCACACCCCCCAACGGAGATGTGCCCGCAACCAAGGTACATGCCCTTGATCGGAATCGAACCTGGGACCTTTCAGTCCTCAGACAGACGCTCTACCACTGAGCCAAACCGGTTTCGGCCAGGCGGTGCTGTCTTACTTTGGTCATCAGAAAGGCCCCATCTGAAGAGACAGCAATGAACAGACCTGAGGAAGATGAACAGGCAATCTAGGGATCATGCCCTCCACCAGAATTGAACCCAAGACCCTTCAGTCTTAGGGCTGACGTTCTAGCCACTGAGCCAAATCTGCTAGGACTGTAATTTGTATTTTTTAGTTAGCGCTTGTAAAATACTTTCCTCACAGGGGTGTGCTGAGGCTTAATTCTGGAACATTTTGGCCACTGGCTATTACGTGACCATGAACAAGTCTTTTCCTCTGAGCCTCACTTTCCTTTTGAGTAAAACGGGAATAAGGACAGGAAGTGCTGAGCACAGGAAGGAGATAGACCTGGATTGGAACACTGGCTCTGTCACTTCCAAAATGTGTGACCTGGGGTGAGCCACATCATCGCACTGTGTTCGGCTTTCTGCTGTAGGAGCGAGAGGTGACACTGGTGTTTACCTCCTGGGGTGAGATTTTTCTTTCCCCCCGTTTCCTCCTCTAGTCACATAAACCTCCTGCCTCTCCAGCCCTCCCAGCCTCCCAGCCTAGTATGAATCCTGCCACATTTGAATCTGGGAGTGACCTGTCATGATATCATAAAATTGAAATCAATTGTTTTTTGTTGTTAATCTTTATCCGAGGATATTTTTCCCATTGGTTTTTCTCTTTTTTTTCTTTCTTTTTTTTCTAAGAGAGGGTGGAAAGGACTGGGGTATCGGGAAGAAAAAGAGAGAAACATACTTGTAAGAGAAACACATCAATTGGTTGCCTCCCATATGGGCTCTAGTTGGGGCCAGGGTTCGAACCTGCAACCCAGGTACATGCCCTTGGCCAGAAATTGAACCCTCGACTCTTCAGTACGTGGGCCAACAATCTAATCACTGAGCCATACAAATCAGGGCATAATCAATTGTTTTTAAAATAGAATCTTCCCTATGCTCTTGTGCATCTTGTTTTTCACATATAACAGTGGTCTGAGGAAGTCAGCTAGGGTGTTTTCAACTTCCTCATTTATTTTCTTAATTGTGTTACTTTCTTGAGTGAGCAGAGCTTGTGTTGAGGCAAAATTAAAAAGATGCAAAAGGTACCCAATGAAAGGCAGATCTTTCCTCCCTGTCCCCCAGTAGCAGTCTTCAGGATCTCACCATGGCTAATTTCTCAGGTCTCTTCCCCAAACATTATTTGAATATAACGTCAGACATAAAGATGGATGAGCTGAAACCGGTTTGGCTCAGTGGATAGAGCGTTGACCTGCGGGCTGAGGGGTCCCAGGTTCAATTCCGGTCAAGGCCATGTACCTTGGTTGTGGCCACATCTCCGGTAGGAGGTATGCAGGAGGCAGCTGATCAATGTTTCTCTCTCATCGATGTTTCTGACTTTCTATCCCTTTCCCTTCCTCTCTGTGAAAAGCCAATAAAATATATTTTAAAAAAAAAGATGGACATAGCTCAGTAGTTGAACATCAACCTACAAACCAGGAGGTCACAGTTCAAGTCCAGGTCAGGGCACATGCCCGGGTTACAGACTCAGTCCCTAATGTGGGGCATACAGGAGGCAGCCGATCAATGATTCTCTCATTGATGTTCCTATCTCTTCCTCTTATCTTCCCCTCTGAAATCGATAAAAATATATTTTGTAAAAAATGGAGAAGAGTACTTTTTAGTTTATTTTTAAATCACTGCCAATAGCACGGAACAGTTTTGTTTTTTGTTTTCTTGTCATTAATCCTCACCTGGGGATATTTTTGGGAATCCAGCCTGCAACTGAGGTGTGTGCCCTTGACTGGAATCGAACCCAGGATCCTTTAGTTCGAAGGCTGATGCTCTATCCACTGAGCCAAACCGTGTAGGTCAGCACACAGTTCTAAGCCTTGGCTTTTTTCTCTTAATAACAGTCCAATGAAAAGTTTGCTTCCAGCCGAAACCGGTTTGGCTCAATGGATAGAGCGTCGGCTTGGGCAGTGTTTTTCAACCTTTTTTGGGCAAAGGCACACTTGTTTCATGAAAAAAATCACGAGGCACACCACCATTAGAAAATGTTAAAAAATTTAACTCTGTCCCTATATTGACTGTATATAAAGTAATTCTCTTGAATAGGAATCAAATAAACACAAAGAAAGTATTTTATAATTACTTTATTATGAAATATTAAGTAAACAAAATAGTGAAAAATTATAAAATTCTTGTCTTGTCTGCACCTACGGCACACCAGCGGTTGAAAAACGCTGGGCTTGGGGACTGAAAGGTCTCGGGTTCGATTCCGGTCGGGGGCATGTACCTTGGTTGCGAGCATATCCCCAGTAGGAGGTGTGCAAGAGGCAGCTGATCGGTGACTCTTTCTCATCGATGTTTCTAACTATCTCTAACTATCTCTCTCCCTTCTTTGTACAAAATCAATAAAATATATTTTTAAAAAGTTTGCTTCCAGCTTGTCCCCTGAGTCACTCCACTGCCACCAATCCCTAGGAGTCTTCTAGGATTCTGCATTATACAAGCAAGTGGGGTTAGACTTCTACCTCACCCCCCCTTTTTCCTACAAAAGGTAACTTTCCATGTCTGCTGTTCCCCCTCTGCCTTTTTCACTCAACAGGATCTCCTGGTGGTTACTCCATAGCAAGGCACAGAGCTCCCTCATCTTTTTTTCTCTACATTTTCTTTCCTTTTTCTTTCATTGATTTCTGAGAGAAAGGGAGAGAGAGATCTTTCTCTGTCTCCCTTCCACTCTCTAAAAATCAGTGGGAAAATATCCTGGAGTGAAGATTAACAACAACAAAAAGCACGAGAGGGACCGTTTTGTTTGCCTTCATTCTGTGCCAGGCCCTGTTCTAAGTACTTTGCAAGAATGCTGTGTTGGTTCATTTAATCTTTCCAGCAGCCCTATGAGGTGGGCACCGGGAATGTCCCCGTGTTAGAAGAGGAAACGGCACAGGGGCTGGCGCCCTCCGCCTCAGCCTGCACGGAGGACTGGCAGTGCCGCTGCAGGAGAGCCGGTCAGAGGCTGCCCCTCACCGGGACCTCCCGCCCTGTCCCCCCAGGCACTGCAACATGGTGCTGGAGAATGTGAAGGAGATGTGGACCGAGGTCCCCAAGAGCGGCAAGGGCAAGAAGAAGTCCAAGCCCGTCAACAAGGACCGCTACATCTCCAAGATGTTCCTGCGCGGCGACTCGGTCATCGTGGTCCTGCGGAACCCCCTCATCGCCGGCAAGTAGGGGCGCGCTCCCTGCCGCCACCTCACTCCCTGCCCTGCTCAGACCTGCCCTGCTCAGACTGCCCCGACCTGAGAACAATAAAGTCCTGTTTTGTTTTGTTTTTTCTAGTGGCATCTGTCTGTCCCCAGGGCCTTGTGGGCGGGACGGGCTTGGGGGAGGGGGCCGGCTGAGCATGGGGCCACACGCTGGGATCAGGACCTCTCTGAGCAGATGAAGAGGCCCTGTCTCTGCTCCTTTCGTGCCTCAGTTTCCCTGTCTGTGAAGTGAATTGGACAGAGTGCTTTTGCTCTTTCCTGTTTAATCTTTACTAGCTTCTCATTACCCCATCTCTCCCTTCTTCCTCTGAATGAGTCAGCCTTGCTTGAAATTTCTTCTGGTCTTTTTTTCTGTTTGTTCAGTTAGATCAACATCCCCCACTGTTTACTTTGTGTCCAGCCTTGTGTTGCAATCCTGGGGACACAGCAGTGCCTGAGACAGCCCGGGGCTGATGGGAAGAGATACATGTTTAAAGCAGTTGGTACTCAAAGTCCTAACCAAGTAGCTCAGTTGGTAGTGGCATCTCAGTATGCCAAGGTTGCGGGTCCCATCTATAATTAGGTCACATACAAGAAGCGACCATGAATGCATCAGTACCGTATTTTTCGGACCATAAGACGCACCAGTTTTTAGAGAAGGGAAATGAAGAAAAAAAGATTCTGAAACAAATAGTGTCCTAAAATATTTTATGTGCATTAAAACCCAACATCACAGTCATAAACACATGTAATCAACCCTGTAAAGTAAACAGTAGCATTTAGAACCATTTTAGAGCTGGGCAAGTAAAAAAAACTTTTTAAAGTATATGTGTAGGCTATATTTGGACCATAAGACGCAGGGACTTTTCCCTCCCACTTCTGGGGGGAAAAAAGTGCGTCTTATGGTCCGAAAAATACGGTAAGTGGAACATCAGATCTGTTTCTCTTTTCTCCTCTCTCCCTCTCCCTTCTCTCTGAAATCAGTAAGTACAGATTTTTTTTTTTAAGTGTCCAATAACCTCAAGTGATTGGTTCTATGTGTCTACCTTTCCCTGGCCACTCACTATTTCATGTTTTCTCAATGTTTATCTCTCCCTCTCTCTAAAAAAAAAGTTTAAAAAATGTTTATAAGAAAAAGCAACCATGCTGTCACCTGCTGCACTGTTAGGCTGTCAGCCCTTGGCTCTCTGCTGTTCAGACTTCCAACAGCTCTGAGCAGGCAGTTCCTCATTACCTCCAGTTCCCAGGAGAGGTGGCTGAGGCACAGAAGTGTCGCTTGCCCAGGGACACCCAGCCAGGAAGTGGTGCTGATCAAACCCATCCTGCTCCTGAGCCTGTGGCTTCACCCTGAGCTCTGCTGTCCTCCAAATTACAACCAATTACCATCAAGGGGAATTCTCTAGCAAATAGAGAAAGGAGGGCCTTACTGTTTTCCTCCGATGCACACACATCACTCTCCCCCAGCGAGATCTCTGTTCTGTCTCTGCCTGTATCTCTGTTCTCAGGGCCTAATGCCAGGTGGCGCAGGAGTTTGCGGAACTAAGGTCAGGACCAGTGTCTGACACAGCTGTGGAAAGCAGAGCCTGGCTTACCCTTTGAGCTGCAGAGCTGGGGATCCTGCAGCAGAGAGGACCTGACATACACGGACACGTGTGGGGTTATAAAGCTGAATGTTTACTGAGTGGTGTAATTGGAACAACCCTCTGAAGTAGATACTGGAGCCATCCCAATTTACAGATGAGACAGCTGAGGCTTAGTGGGTAATGACTTGCCCAGGTCACTCAGGGAAGCGATGGGGCCATGTTCAAACTCGGGGAGGCAGGCCCTCATGAGCCACCATACTGTCAGGGAACAGGTCAGAGCCCCAGTGCCCTAATCTGTGGGGTCAGTGGTGCCGGGCTGGTATGGCTCAGCTGGCTGGAGCATTGTCCTGAACATGATCCCGATTTTGATATGTATGGGAGGCAACCAATCATTTCTCTTGCTCTTTTCCTCTAAAATCAATAAAATCACGTCTTATAAAAATAAAAAAGTAATGAAGTGGGGGCAGGAAACTTCCCGGGGGGGGGGGGGGGATTTGGTTCTTTTGCAGGAGAAAGAGGCACAAAGCCTGGAGTCCCGATCTTCAAATGGTTCGAATCTCCTGCCTCCCTCTGGTTGACTTAATAATCCTGCCTTGCAGGCCGGGGCTGGATTCCAGCCCAGCATCCAGCTTGGCGTCAGTTTGAGTTTCAGCCACCATCTCCTCCCAAATGGTTCCTAATTCACCTCTTCCTTCAGCGGTGAAAACAACAGCAGAGGCTGTAGGAATAGCCCCAGGCACACTGGCCAGGCATTCAGCATCCGCCAGGCACCAGGCATTATCCTAAGAATGACTCGTTGGAAACTCAGGCAAGGTACTGTTATACCTATTTTCCGGAATTGGAAAGTGAGGCATAGAGAGGCTGAGAATTTTCTCCAAGTCATATAGCTAATAAGTAGCCAAATTAAGATTTGAAGCAGGCTATGTGTTTCCTACAGCTTTATTCTGGCTTTTGTTTTTGTTAAAATGAAAAATTTGTATACACTGAGTGGTCAGATTATTATGATCTCTGAATGAATAATAATCTGGCCACTCAGGGTAGACTGACCACAGAGGTGGGATTTTAAAATAAGGTTTTTCCACGTATAACAACTGCATTATGGGTAGTAAGGATCACATGAACATTCCCAATTGGGACTGGCAGCACGATGTGCATGTTGATGTCCATGTTGTCCTGGCAACACGTGGCTGAAGATAAGCAGTGTACCCTCCACGGGGTGTGTAGCTGCTACAGGCTCCCAGCCTCAGCCATTTCCCTTTATGGCCTGGCCAAAAGATTCTCATTCTCAACAGATACACCAAAAATCACAACACAACTGTTTCTCATGCTTTATTTACATTACAGGGGTGGGGAGCATTTTTTCTGCCGAGGGCCATTTGGATATTTATAGCATCATTCTCAGGCCATAAAAAAAATTAACTTAAAAATTAGCCTGCTATATTTGGTCAAACATTTAATTAACTCATCCCTAATGCCTTGGCAGGGCCAGACCACAGGGCCTTATGTGGTCCGAGGGCCGGATGTTCCCCACCATGATTTATAGAGCCCCTACCCTCCTAGGACCCGCAAGGTCCCCGTCCCTGCCCCCCCCCCCCACGCCCTCGCAAGGCCACCTTATGTTAAAGGGACTCTGTTTCTCTGTCCAGGGAGCTGAGACCCAAGGAAAAGAATTGACAACACCCAGGTTCTAATGGAATCTAACTGTGTCTGTGGGGGAAGGATTAGAAGTGAGGGCTTGTGTTTGACAAGTGGTCCAGCGACAGTGTGGCTGTTGGCTTCCCCAATTCTCCCAGTGCCCAGGGGGCCACTCAGGAGGGTGAGGAGTGCAGCCACACTCCCCAGCTAGCAGTGGTCCTGGCTTCTCTGGGTGCAAGGTCCCAGCCGGGGCCTGCCCTGTGTCTACACCTCCTCTCTGGACCCCGGTGGGCCCACACTTCGGTCTCCAGCTCTAACCTCTGCCTTGAGCTCCAGACCTTCGTCCCAGCTTATCGTGTCCAAAGAGCCCTCTCGCTGGGTTCACCCCACCTAAACCCAGTCTCACTTTCCTTTCTCCGCAGCCTGGAACCTACGAGTCTTCCTGGGCTTCTTTTCCTTCTTGCTGAACTTTCTCATGCAATTAATTCATTGCCAGATCCTCAGTTCTACCTTCAAAATAGCTCCGGAGTCCAACTGCCTCCCACTCCTCCCTGGCCACCACCTGGTTCCGCCTCCTTCACCTCCCGCCTGCGGTCTCCCTGGGCTCCCAGTTCCTGTCCCTAGTAATCTGTCCCCCCACAACGCAGACAGAAGGCTCTGTTTAACACTTAGCCCAGGAGCCCTGGCTGGGTGGCGGGTTGCTCAGTTGACTAGAGCATTGTCTCAAATCACAGGGGCGGGGAACCTTTTTCTGCCAAAGACCATCTGGATATTTGTAACATCGTTCACAGGCCATGCAAAATTATCAACTTAAAAATTAGCCTGCTATATTTGGTCAAACATTGGATTAACGCACTCCCAATGCCTTGGCAGGGCCAGACCAAATCATTTTGTGGACCTTATGGGGCCCATGAACCAGATGTTCCCTACCCCTGCGATACACCAAGGTTTCGAGTTTGACCCCCTGTCAGGGCACATACAAGAAGCGACCAATAGGTAATCCTGGCCTGTGTAGCTCTGGTGGCTGAGTGTGGCCCGTGCACTGAAGAACCGCTGGTTCGATTCCCAGCCAGGGCATATGCCCAGGTTGCGGGTTCGATCCCAGATCGGGGTATGCACAGGAGGCAACGGATAAACCAATAGATGTTGCTCGAATTGATGTTTCTCCCTCTCCTTTCCTCTCTCTCTTTTAAGTAGCAATAAAAACATACTTTGTTTAAATAAAAGAATCCACCAGTGAATGCATAAATACGTGGAACAACAAATTGATGTTTCTCTCTTAAATTAATAAGTTAAAAAAATAACACACACATTAGCCCATGAGATGCTTCTGCTAAGAGTTTTCAATGCACCTGGAATAAAACCCCAACTCTTTGCCCCTGCTCACTTCTCCCTCCATTTGGCTCTGACTCCTCCCAGCTCCAGCCATGCAGGCCACCTGACTGCTCCTAGGACATGGCCAAGGTCCTTCCTGCCCAGGGCCTCTGCTCCTTCTGCCTAGAATCTTGCCCACCAGTTCTTCCCAAAGCTGTCTCCTGCACCTCTGGCAGGTAGGGCTTACATGGTACCTCCGCAGAGATGCCCTCCCTGGCCACCATATACCCCCTTCTAATTTTTCCTCATCAGCCATTCCACTCAGCCCATATATAACGATGAATTGTCTTAAGGGTCTGTTTCCCCCACTCAATTTTGAACTCTAGGTCAGGGGCCTTTCTCTGTTTCCTTCCACCCCATTTCCCCAAGCCCTCCCTCCACAAGGGGCCTGGTACACAGTAGGCGCTCAACAAATACATGCTAACCGAATGATCACCGGAATCCCGCTGCCTAGCAGTAACTTTCCAAGACCCGGCTGGCCTCATCCCCAGGCCCTGGGAGGTTCCCCGAGGACAGGGCACGGCCAGTGGCGACCTGTCTGGGTCCGGAGCCCAACTGCAGGCTCAGAGAGGGCCGCTGGGAGGCCTGGTGAGGCTCCTCTCCCAGGCTGCGGCGCAGGCGGCAGCGGTGCCAACCTCGGCGGATCTCCGACTGCACCTGCAACGGGTAGCGCTCAGAGCCGGGGCCAGGCACGCCGTTCGCTGTGCTGCCGCCAGAGGGCGCGGGCGGGCGGCAGGCTGGGCTCTCCCTACCTCCTTGTTGATGAAGCAGTAGAGGAAGCTGACCAGCAAGCCCTGTCAAACACGGCGTTACGTCAGGGCCTGGGGACAGGCTTATGAACACCTCCTTCAGAGCCCGGGCCCTGCCAGGCCCCAGACTACCTCGGCTGCCACTCTCCCGGTCCTAGACTTTTGCAAACACCTCCCTGCTCCCCGCTTGTCCTCCCCAGTTTGCTGAGCAATAAAGAGGCTCCTGGATGTTATAATCGCTTCCCTAGTTTCGTTTCTTTTTTTTTTTTTTTTTAATATATTTTATTGATTCTTTACAGAGAGGAAGGGAGAGAGATAGTTAGAAACATTGATCAGCTGCCTCCTGCACGCCCCCTATCGGGGATGTGCCCGCAACCAACATAACATGCCCTTGACCGCATTCGAACCTGGGACCTTTCCGTCCGCAGGCTGACGCTCTATCCACTGAGCCAAACCGGTTTAGGCACTTCCCTAGTTTCTGTCCCACTTGGGCAAACTGCTTAACCCCCCTGGGCCTCAGTTTCTTCATCTGGAAAGTGGGGTAATACAATGGTGGTCGTGAGACTTGAGATATTGGTTTGCAAGAAGCTGTAGTGTCTGGTACACAGTGTTAAACCTTTTACTTAGTCTTATGATTTATCTTACCATTATTATATGCTATTATATAACCATTAGTAAATATTAATAAACCAAGTTTATGATGATTAACATTTGCTTAATTTTAATTATTAATGATTATTCTAAGTTATTGGTAAATTCTAATCATTAGTTTTATATTTATGTTTCACATATAAATTAAAATAAATATAAAACCATTTCTATTTATAATTAACAATAAGTTTCTTGATAAATTAATACAAGTCCATTATTTGTATGTGTTATTGGTAAAATATTACTTATCTCCCCCTTGATCCACTGGCTCAGGCTGGCCAGCCCTCCTCCATTGTGACAGATCTTACATGCGAGGTGTCTCTCACTCGCCTCGCTCATTCCCACACCTTCCATCTTTGCTCCAATATCTTCTTCTCAGGCAGGCCTTCCTTGACCCCCTGCCTGTAACACTACCTTTTGTCTAATCTTCACCTCCATTTTCTTGCTTCCCCCCCCCCCTACCCACATCTTACCATCTGCCATTCTGTATATTTTACTTATATACAGAGTGTGGATAGCATCCGTCTCTCCTACAAGAATGTAGAGGCCATTCTGGTTCATGTCAATATCCCCACAGTGAGCTAGGAAAAGTGTATGTAATAAATGTTCTCTGAGTTTGTCTTGCCACCCTGGCTCTGACAGATCTGATTTTGGCCTCAAAGCCCTTGATCTTGCCAAAACCGGTTTAGCTCAGTGGATAGGACACTGGTCTATGGACTGGGGGGGGGGGGGGGGGGTCCCAGGCTCGATTCCGGTCAAGGGCATGTACATTGGTTGTGGGCACATCCCCAGTGGGGGGGTGTGCAGGAGGCAGCTGATCGATGTTTCTCTCTCATCGATGTTTCTGTCTCTCTATCCCTCTCCCTTCCTCTCTGTAAAAAAATCAATTAAAAAAAAAAAAAAAAGCCCTAGACCTTCACCAGGAGGCTGTACCGCTCAGCCCTCCCCTCTCCTGCCTCGGCCCCTGCCTCAGCGTTCTGTGTAGAATGAATGAACTCGCCCGGGCACCCCCACCGCAGTGGCTGCGCCAAGGGGCGGCCGTAGCCCTGCCGCCTCTCGGGGGAGAGGGCCCCAGCTGGAAGGGTGCAGCCCCGCTCCCCGCCTGAGCACCTGGAAGGAGCTGAGGAAGATCTCGAAGCCGAGCTTGGCGAAGCGCAGTTGGCCGCGGGCTTGTTCCTCGGTCACAGGAGCAAACACCACCTCGTGGACGCCCAGCAGAGGCACCAGCGTCAGCGTGGAGCGGGCCAGCCTGGGAGGAGAGGGCAGCTGTGGTCAGCGGCCCGGGTCCCCATCCCACGTCCGGCCCTCTTCCCTCTCCCCCCTCTTCCCTCCCCCACCTTAGCCGGTAGTCCGGGCAGCGCATCTGCTGGGTCCTCAGCTTGGACACGAGGATGCCGAGGATTCGGAGAAAGATGAAGAAATTAATCTGCGGGGAAAGGGTAGAGGCCGAGCCAGTCCGAGCCCATCCTGGGAAACAGGGCGGCAACCCTCTCCCCAGGAGGAGAAATCCCAGAGGACTGCCTGGAGGAGGCGGCGGCGCCGGCCGTACCAAGATGGTCATGAGGATAGGGGTGCGTATGATCCACCAGATGGCCTTGACTTCGTTCCGCTCCCAGCACCTGGAGCAGGGAGGGGTTGTGGTGGAGCTAAGGGGCTGAAAACCGCTAGAAGCACGCACCGGTCGCGCACATTCCCTCGGCAGGGCCCGCCCCGCCCGCCTTCCGTGAGGCCACGCCCACATCCCTCCTGAGCCCCGCCCACTCCTGCCCGGCCCCGCCCCTTCCCATCGTCCTCGAGCACAACCTTTCCGAGCTGCTCTATTCCGTTATCCCCCCCACCCACATCCCCTCCAGGGCCCCACGTGCCATCAGGACGGTATTGTGCTCCCATCCCACCCGCCCAGGTGCCTCGAGGCCCCGCCCACCTCCCCAGGCTCCCCGCCCAGGTGCCTCGAGGCCCCGCCCACCTCCCCAGGCTCCCCGCCCAGGTGCCTGGAGGCCCCGCCCACCTCCCCAGGCCTCGCCCAGGTGCCTGGAGGCCCCCTCCCACCTCCCCAGCCCCCCCACCCCCCCAATCCCCACCTCCGGCCCAGGCCTCCTTCCCGCAACTCACTGCGTGTTCTCGTACAGGTACCTGACGATCACCCAGGGGATGACGAAAAGCGCGGGGGCCCCTGTGCAGACCCCGACCCCCGCCCCCCACCCCGCCGCAGCCGTCAGCACGCGCGCGGGCCTCGCCTGGCCCCAGCCCCGCGGAACTCCCCGCTGAGATGGGAAGGCAGAAGCCTGGAGAGAGGGAGAGACCCCTGAAGCAGACCGGCAGGGCAGTCGGGGAGCGGTGGTGCGGGGAGGGCGGGCCGGGGACAGGGTCGGGGCTCACCCCAGCCGAAGAGCAGGTAACCGCGGAAGGGACCCCCCTCGGAGCCCCCCACGAGCACCAGGAGGCTGTGCAGGTAGATGCCCTCCACCAGCAGCCACGTGTAGTTGGCGCCCACGCAGTACTGGGTCACGATCTGGGCCGTTCTGCAGGGGCCGAGCGCCTGGAGGGTGGCCGGACAGGGGGAGAGGGGCAGTCAGGGCGCTGGAGGTACCCCAAGCTTTCCTCCAGCCCCAAGCTTTCCTCCAGCCGATCGTCCTTTCACCGTCTCCTCTGTCATCAAATACTCTCCCACTCTGTCACCGAAGCGTGGTACCTGTGCTTGGTTTCTCTCCCCTATATGACCTCTCCACTCTAACCTCTTTTTTAATTTTTTTTTAAAATATACTTTATTGATTTTTTACAGAGAGGAAGAGAGAGGGGTAGAGAGTTAGAAACATCAATGAGAATCATCTATCAGTTGCCTCCTGCACACCCCCTACAGAGGATGTGCCTGCAACCAAGGTACATGCCCTTGACTGGAATCGAACTTGGGACCTTTCAGTCCGCACGCCAAGGCTCTATCCACTGAGCCAAACCGGTTTCAGCTACTCTAACCTCTTAAACAACTGGTATCTCCCATCTCACTATCAAACTTCTCCCCAAGATGCCCCAGAGATGGCTCCTCCCACCCCATCTCCTGAGAATGGTGCTCAGCTACTCCACCTTCGGGAAAGCTTCTCACCACCTCCTCCTCCTCTCCCACCAGCGCGGCCCTCCCACCCCCGTGCTTCCTGACAATGGGCATGGCCCACGGTGCTCCCAGGGAGTTTTCCTCCCCTCTGGTCCCAGCCTCGGGTCTGGCTCACCTTGTTTCTCAGTAAAGACCTGGAATCTACCAGATCCTCCCCCCAGCTGTTCCCCCTCCTGTCTCCTCCTCACCTCCAGCAGAAGACTCTCTCAGGGGTGGGACAGGCCAGTGGTTGGAAATAGAAGAAAGAGCACGGGAAAAATGCCAACAAAGGAGGTGACGGAGTGAACAGTGGGGGTCCCTCGCTGGCGTGGTCCAGAGGGAGGAAACTGTAGCCAGTGTCTGGGCAGTGGGTAGCGTGGGAACCGCCTGACCACCAGGGGAGGCTGAATCCCAAGGCGAGAGGAAGAGGGACTAGCTCACCTGGTTCCACAGGATGGGGGCCTGGTCCCCGGGTGCGGGCCCCGGAGGAGGCAGCAGCCGGTCGCGGGTGAGGATGGCTGCCGCCCGGAGCATGAAGGACGTGAACAGGTTGATGTGAATGTAGTTGCGAGTGCAGTGCAGCCGCCTGGGGATTGGGGAGGCAGGGGGGACCCATGGACACCCGTCCGCGGCCGCGGGGAGCCCCTTTCGCCGCCTCCCAGCCCCTCTTCTCACAGAACCACCGTTGGGTGCCGACCACTCCATCCTAGCGGGCAGACAGGCCCGGCTCCGCCTCGGCCGCCCACAGTGGGGGTCCCACCTGAAGGAGCCCAGGATGAGCAGGGCGAGCAGCAGCGCGGCCAGGGACAGGGAGTAGCCCACAGTGTACACCACCTGCAGTCGCTCCAGGATCAGCTTCTGGTTCTGGGGGCCAGGGCAGGACACAGGAGCAGGGCTCAGCTCTCCCCCAGGGTCAGCGGGGGCTGGACAGCCCTCTGTCTGCTCCTGTTCCTGCCAAGCACCCCAATGTTCTCTTGGGGATCCAACTTCCCCTATTTCAGTGGGGCTATCTCCACCCTTGTGCGCCAGGCTGGACCTGTGGCCAGCCAATCAGAGCATTCTACCCCCCTCCTAAGCCCCTCCTCCACCCCCTCCCCTACACACATACACAGTGATTAGTCCAGGGTGGGCAGAGGACCCAAACCAGGGCCATGAGAGTCAATCCTGAAAGTTTGTGGCTGCGAGGACTGAGCCCCTTGCACGGATTTCGTGCACTGGGCCACTAGTGTAAAATAATATTGAATGGCAATGTAATTGAAAAATAAAAATTTCAGTCCTAGCTGGTTTGGCTCAGTGGATAGAGCATTGGCCTGCGGACTGAAGGGTTCAATTCCAGGTAAGGTCACATGCCCGGGTTGTAGGCTGGATTCCCAGTAGGGGGCGTGTTGAAGGCAGCCAATCAATGGTTCTCTCTCATCATTTGTTTCTATATCTCTCTCCCTCTCCCTTCCTTTCTGAAATCAATAAAAATACATTTTTAAATAAAAAGATGAAGATGAGACCAGCGCAGATAAAAACACAGGCACAGGAAGGCGAGCAAGAGAGATCCCCAACATTATTTGAACACCTAGATCCAGCTGTGCCTGAAGCTGTATGTGGCTGTGTATGTTTCAATCACAGAAGTAGAGATTTTTTTTTTTTTCTGCATCAAGCACGTTTACTTGGGATTTCTATCACTTGGAACCCAGAGCCCTGAACAGTACAAGGGATTTCAGGCTCAGTCTGAGGCTGCTGCCTTTTCTTTTTTAAAAAAAATATGTATTTTATTGATTTTACACATAGAGGAATTGAGAGGGATAGAGAGCTAGAAATATCCATGAGAGAGAAACATCGACCAGCTGCCTCCTGCACAACCCCCACTGGGGATGTGCCCACAACCAAGGTACATGCCCTTGACCAGAATCAAACCTGGGACTCTTCAGTGTGCAGGCTGACGCTCCATCCACTGAGCCAAACCGGTTTTGGCAGGCTGCTGCCTTTTCGCCTCTCCCTGGACATCCAACCTGAATCCCTTGCCTCTTCTTACCTGAAAGGTCCCATTCTTCTCTGGGTTCTCACACTGAGAATGGTCTCTCCAAGGTCCCCATTGGCCATCACTGCCGCACCGGCGGAGGACAAAGCCTGCAGCCACTGGGGGGGGGATCGAGGGAGGGGGTTAGAGGCACAGAAAGAGAGATGGAGACAGAGACCAGCTGGGAGGAAAGGCAGAGAGAGAGCCGATGTGATGATAATGATGATGATGAGCCCTTCTATGGAATTTCACACATTAATGTAATACTCAGAAGACAGCTCTGAAGCTGGTGCTATCATCAATCCCATTCTACAGATGAGGGGGTTGAAGTATAAAGAAATTAAATAAACTGCCCTGGACCACACAGCTAGCTAGGACCGGAAGACCAGAATTCCCAGAGACAGTCTCAGATAAAGGAGAGAAAAGAAGAACTGCATAGTCCTAAGAGAGATACAGACAGAGAAGGGGCATGATGTGACAGAGCCAGGATCGGGGCGACCCAGCCAGGGCTGGACAGACAGAGGAGACACCCGCTGGACAGAGAGGAGCAGGAGATGGGCTGTAGGTGAGTTTGGGGGAAGGGACATCTGGGGCAAGGGTTGGGAGCTGTTTGTGTCCAGAAAGGCCCACATCCAGGGGGCACCTCACCGTGGCGGTGCCAGGGCAGATACCAGGGGCAGGAAGCACGGGCAGTGGTGTTGGGTGCAGCATAGTCCCAGCAGACGTACATATCGAAGGACCCATTGCAGGCGAGGCCTGGAGTGGCACAGGGGGACCTACTGCACAATCGCCCAAAGCCCCCTCCTCCTCGCACCCCAGTCCTGCCCTGGGCCCACCCACCTGGAGGGTCCGACGCAGCTGCCCGCAGCTCCGCCCATCAGACCCTGAGGCCCCCCATCCTCCGACCCCACTCTGGGCTCCCCACCAAGCAAGCTCCAGCCGCACGAGGTTCCCGCTGCTCGAGGCCCTTTCTAGGCTCCACCCAAGCCCCGCCCCTTTCTATGCATTCAGGCCCCGCCCATCCGTGTGGCCCCGTCCACTTCCAGCTTCTTCCCAGACTTCTCCCAGGAATCCCAGTAGCATCCCACTCCGATCTAGGGATTCTAGGTCCTTCCCACCCAGGCCAAGCCCCCGTCTACCCCGGACAACTCTCCCAGGCCCAGCGCCCGGTCCCAGCCCACCCTCCCTGCTCAGTCCTCGCAGCCCCCCTCCCAGCCTGGGGGGCCCAGCCTGGGGGTCTCACCCGCCGGGGGCTCGGCGGCCTGCAGCGCCCCCTGGCACTCCCTGCGGTAGCGCTCCCAGCGCCGGTACAGCTCCCGCGCCGTCTGCCGCTCCGAGCCCGTCTGCGGGGAGAGAGACGGGAGGACGCCCGCCGCCGCCGCCCCCCGCAGCCTGGTGATGCGGGCCGGGGACCCTCAGGGGACATGGGGGGGGCTGTCCTGTGTGCCCAGGAGTCTTGGGGGGACCGGGGAACCTCTCCTGTCTGGAGGGGAGCCTATAAACCTCCAGGGGAGTTGCTGGGGGGACTGGACGCCTCCGGGAACGTTGGGGGACGTGGTGGCTGGACAGCAGCAGGAGCATGTGCGAGGGGAAGGAGGCGGACTGGAAGCGACCATCAGCACTGGGGTCTGCGCCTTCACCGCCCCAGACCCCCCTCCGCCCCCCGAGCCTCCCCTCCGCGCTCCGGTCCTCACCTCCGCCCGCGGCAGCAGCGGCGCCCGCAGCCCGAGCAGCAGCAGCAGCAGCAGCGGCCTCCGGGGCGCACGGGGCGGCATGGCGAGGGCGGCGGGGCCCGGGGGGCGGGGGCAGCCGGCCTGGAGGGTCCGAGGGCAGCAGGGTCAGGAGCCGCCGCCGTCCGCCCCCAGCCCCAGCCTCGCCGCCGCCGCCCGGATCCCCGGGATGATGCACGCGGACCCCGAGGCAGCGCCCCCCATCCCCCCGCCCCAGGGTGACGGTCTGGGGGGGAGATGCGTGAGAAGGGGCCGAGGCTGGGGTCCACCGCGGCGGCTGCGGAGCCGCTGCGGGGCGGGGGGGGTGGGGGGGGGAGGCGGTGTTTGCGGAGGGCGTGGTCGCCGGGGCTCGCCGGGCGGAAGTGCTCGTGTCGCCCGGAGTCTAGACGTGGAGGCCGGAGGGAACCTGGGCACCGGCCGCCCGGGAGCGGAGCTGCAGGCGGCCCTCGGGGTTCCCACTCGCTGAGCCCCAAGAGCGTTCATACCCAAACTGGGGATAAAAAACCGGACCTTGTAGAACCAATCCCGGGAGAACGAAGCCCGGAATCCGTGGGACGTGCTCCTCTTAGGGACTGGAGAGGCGTCAGAGCCCGGGCTCAGGTCTGAGGGGCTGGCCACCTGCCTGGAAACCTGTCTCTCACTTTGGGCACCCCTTCCAGCCCCGGAGGGAAAGGAGAGGCAGGGAGGACCTCAGACCACCCCACAGACACGGGCCAGAGGTGCATGAGGGGAGAGAGAGGGAGAGAGAGGGAGAGAGAGAGAGAGAGAGAGAGAGAGAGAGAGAGAGAGAGAGAGAAGAGGTGCTGCAAGAACAGAGACCACAGGCAGATAGAGTGTGGGCTAGGTGGTAGAGGAGAGAGAGGTACAGAGCCATTGAGAGGTTAGACAGAGACTGGGAGACATGGCGACGAAGATGATAAGAGAGGAGGTTAGAGACTGTGGCCACAGAGACAGAGAGACAAAGGCTCAGAGACACAGAGAGACAAAGGCTCAGAGACACAGAGAGACAAAGGCTCAGAGACACAGAGAAACAAAGGCTCAGAGACACAGAGAGACAAAGGCTCAGAGACACAGAGAGACAAAGGCTCAGAGACACAGAGAGAGGGACGCACAGACCTGAGGGGCCAGCGGGGCAGCGGAGCCCTCACCTGTCCTGCTGCTGCCTCTGCTGCCTCCACTGCCTCCGAGCTCTGGAGGCGGTGACAGCCTGCGCGGTGCGAGGGGCGGGGCCAGGGAACAGGAAGGGGGGGCTCCAGGGGAGCAGGGGCCCTGGCCTGTGAGCATCACAGTCCCTCCAGGTCACATGGGGCAGCAGTCCCACACACACACACACACACACACACACACACACACACACACACACCCCGTGCAGCCTCTCGTCGCCCACAGACTCCGGCAGCCACGCAGTCACACGCAGTGTCGCGCACGGTCCCATTAACGGAGACACGGGCTCAGCAACAGTGTCAAAGGCTGCTCCTCACTGAGCGTGTGCCTCCTGCTCATTCAGCTGTGCCACCTTCAGCCGCACCCAGAGCCTGGTCCGCACCCACAGGACACACGGGCACACGGCCCCGGCCGCGGACGCCTGCACTCACAGGGACACAGCCGCCGCTCCCCACAGCCCCAGGGACACTGTCACGCTCACCAGGTCACATCACAAACACCATCTGTCTTCCCCCGGCCTGCGTGCCCCCATGCAGGCGGGGCCAGGCGGCCCTGGGCCCCCAGCATCGCTCAGCACAGGTTTGGGCACAGAGCACAGAGGCTCAAAGAATGATTGTTGGTTAAATAAATGCACAGCCTGGCAGTGTCGCTCAGTGGCTGAGCGTCGACCTATGACCCAGGAGGCCACAGGTTCGACTCCCCGTCAGGGCACATGCCCAGGCTGCAGGCTCCATGCCCAGGAGGGGCTGTGTAGGAGGCCACTGACCCATGGTTCTCTCTCATCATTGATGTTTCTATCCCTCTCTTCCTCTCCCTTTCTCTCTCTCTCTCAAATCAATAAAAACATATTTAAAAAAATAAAATAGCCGAAACCAGTTTGGCTCAGTGGGTAAAGCGTCAGCCCGTGGACTGAAGGGTCCAGGGTTCGATTCCGGTCAAGGGCATGCATGTACCTTGGTTGCAGGCACATCCCCAGTAGGGGGTGTGCAGGAGGCAGCTGATCAGTGTTTCTCTCTCATCAATGTTTCTAACTCTCTATCCCTCACCCTTCCTCTCTGTGAAAAATCAATAAAAAATATATTTTTTTTAAACTTTAAATAAAGTAAAATAGATGCACAGTTCTGTGTCTCTCGCAGTGTTACACAGCCAGACCCATTCCCTCTCACGTCATTTCACACTTCACCAGTCCCTGGCAGGGTCCACAGCCGCACCCCAACAACACACATTCCCAACCACCCAGGGCACACACCCTCACGCCCAGGGTCACAGCCAGGGCCAAGATTGTACGGATACTCAGTTCTCTCCTTCACAGCCTCACCCACACTCACAATCACACGTGAGCCCACAGCCCCCCGACGGTCTCATGCTCACAATCACCACTGACCCGCACGTCTGAAAAATCTCCACTTTCAGTCTCTTCCTTAAACATGAACAATCCTAATGCCCTGGCTGGGTTGCTCAGTGGTTAGAGCGTCCGCCCAGGCACCCAAGGGTCCTAAGCTCCATTCTCAGCCAAGGGCACGTGCCTGGGTTGGAGCCTTAGAAACGGAGTCCCAGCTCTCCGCACGCTCATTCCCCTTTAAGGCTAATTACCAATGCATGCACATTAATCGTGCTATTAGCATTCAGAGTACACGCTCCCCCGGGGCCTGTGAGGTAAGTGGGTCAGAGGCAAGTTTGCCCATTTTGCAGAGGAGAAACTGAGGCCCAGAGGCTCCAATCAGGGCAGGGAATGAGGGGTGGGTGAGGTCCAGCTCCGAGGCCGGAAGGAGAAAGAGGCACGTTTGGGGGAGGGGCGAGTGGTGGGGAGGGGGGTCCTGACTTCCTGGCCTCCAGCTGGCCTCCCTGCTCTCTGCCCCACATTCCTGGCGCCCTCCGGGTCCTGGGAAAGGCTCGGCTACGGGTGGGGAGGGACAGAGGTCTGAGATGGCCCAGCACCTCGGGAGAGGCTGGAGTTGGGAGGAGGGAGCCTCTCCTTGGCCCCCTGAGGGCCTGGGGGGGGGGGGTCTCTCTGCTAGGACTGGGAAGGTGGGGGGAGGCTGGACTGGAGGGAGAAGCCAGAGGGAGGGGGCGCAGTGGAGAGGAACTGAGGTGGTGAGAGAACTAGGAAAAGAAACCAAAGCTCAGGAAAGAACAGAGACAGGAAGGAGCAGCGATGAGAGAGACCATGAGAAAGAGAAAGACCAAGAGAGACCGGCAGAAAAGAAATGGAGCCCTGGCCTGTTGCTCAGTGGTTAGAGCATCAGCCTGAGGACGGAAGGGTCTTGGGTTTGATTCCCAGTCAAGGGCATGTACCTGGGTTGCAGGTTTAATCCCATCCTGGTCCAGGTGCATGTGGGAGGTAGCCAATTGATGTGTCTCTCTCACATCTCTCTCTTCTCTCCCTCTCCCTCTCTCTCTCTCTCTCTCTCTCTCTCTCTCTCTCTCTCTCTCTCTCTCTCTCTCTCTCTCTCTCTCTCTCTCCCTCCCCCTTCTACTTTCTCTAAAATGCAGCAGAAAAAAATATCCTAAGGTTGAGGATTAAAAAATAAGAATAAAGAAAAGAAATCGAAACAGAAAGAGAAAGGAATCAGGGGAGAGAGAACAGGGTCTGAGAGAGGGAGAGAGACAGAAGAGATACAAGCTGAGAGACGGAGACAGAGAGATGAAGACGGGAGGGTGGAGGGAGAGAGCCTGGAAGGTGGGGCTGAGGGAAGGTGGCCAGGGCAGGAGCTGCGGGGAGCCTGACGCTGGGCTCCGAGCCCACAGCCCTCCATCAGCCGCCGTGGGAACACAGGGCAGAACAGGGCCCAGGGCGGGCCGGTGTCTGGCAGGAGGGGAGATGCCTGGGTCCTGATTGCCCCCCTGTCCGTCTCAGCCCTCCTGGGTCCTCTGCCATCAGGAGGGGACAGCAGGGCCACAGAAGCAGCCACAGAGCCCTCCCCAATTCCATGCTCAGGGCTTCTGGAACCTGCAGGCAGAGAAGCAGCCATGTGCCCCTCCTCCACCCCACCCCATCCCTCCACCCTCTCTGCTGTCCATCTCTCCCTGCCCTCCGCCCCCCGCCCATCTCTTTGGTCCGAATCCTCCTTTCTCCTCTTCTCCAAGCCCACCCTCAGTTGTCTGTCTCTGGCTTGCTGGCTGTCTTTCCTTTTTTTTTTTTTTTTTAACTTTTTTTTTTAATATTTTTTTTTATTGATTTTCTTACAGAGAGGAAGGGAGAGAGATAGAGAGCTAGAAACGTCGATGAGAGAGAAACATCGACCAGCTGCCTCTTGCACACACACACACACACCCCAACCAGGGATGTGCCCCAACCAATGTACATGCCCTTGCCCGGAATCGAACCTGGGACCTTTCAGTCCGCAGACCGACACTCTACTGCTGAGCCAAACCGGTTTTGGCTGTCTTTCCTTTTTCTTCCCTCTGGTTTCATTCTGCTCCTCTGCTTACTTCTCTTGCTCCCTCCGGTTCTCTGATCAGCCTCTTCTAGCCAGCCTTTCCTCTTCCCCTTTCCCTCATCCTCTCACTGGTGCCTGTCGGTCTGTTTCTCTCCCTCCATTGCCCCCGGCCCTGGGTTTCCAGGCTGTTGGCCTCTCTCCCCACCCCAGCAATGCCCAGGCAGTGCCCCAGCTCAGGGCGCAGTGGTGGGGAGGCCACTGGAGGGCCTGTGCCTCCCCCATGGGGCTGCCCAGCCAAGCAGAGCCTGTGGGAGCAGGCGGGCCCGGGGTGCCAGCAGATGGTGCAGGAGAAATGAGGCAGAGAGGGATGGGGAGAGGGCATGCCCCAGGGGGACTGAGGCCAGAAACGGGCGCCTGAGCCGGCCCCCTGAGATTCAGGACTGCTGAGAGGAGGCCTGAAACACACACACACACACACACACACACACACACACACACACCGAATGAGAGACAGCAATAGAGAGACAATGCAGAACCAGAGAGGGGCTGAGACAGGGCTGAGAGACAGGGACACACACACTCACACAGCCAGAGAAAGACAGGAACGCAGAGGTCCCTCCTGAGGCAGGGGCGGCGTC